GAAGCTACGCGATTTTATTCATTTTCACCAAGCAACCAAGAATCCGTTGTTTTGTTTAATAATAAAATAATTGATACTGTCAATAAGAATTAATTGTCATTCATATTTCAATTTCTTCGATTAAAGGCTTTGCAGAATCAAACTGCGTATTTTCAGATATAACAACATCATAGAGATCTGCGACTCTGATTTAGACAAAATAAAATCTCACGAGCATCATATAATTTGTCAAACCATATCGAATATACAAAAGTGACAAAATATTATTCAAAAGTGTCAAAAGTGACACTGATGATGAAAACAAACCCTGTCATTTGTCATTCCCTTCTCTTCCCTAATAACACAATTATGTTCCATGGATATCCTTAGGACGTCCTGTCGGGATATTCAGGACATCCCTCCCTCCATAGGACAGCTCCGCTAAGGGATATCAATCATATGTCCATAGGATATGTCCCAGGGACGTACGAATCATTCTCGAATTTGAATTTTTGTGGGTCCCCTTACGACCAGATCTTGCATAACTGATGAGGACATCCAGTTGACTTGACGGTCCGTAGAAGGTCCCCAATAAATCCCTAAAAAGTTTCCCAAGGATGTCTAATGGACCTACGTGAAGGACATTGACGGAGAGTATTCATATTATACCCTACGAGCAATCATTCGTCGGCGGGGTGTAAGTTAACGTACTCGCAGGGACAACATATTGAAAGTACCGAATGGGACGTCCGTAGTACGTTATTTCCAGGACATTGGATAAGTACAGTTCATGTTCCAATTGGGATATCTCTAAGAGACATTCGAAGGATGTCCCTGTACATTTCGATTGTTATACGATCCTGTAAATAATAATGGCGTCTGTGCAGATATATTTGAAGGAATGTACTATCAGGGACATTACATGGTTGTCTAGAAGGGACTTCATATAAGATTTGAAGACATGCCAGAATATGTACTACTCGGGACATCCGATGGATGTCCCTAAAGGAATCATATCTCATCAGGGACATGCTTGCATGGACATTCTACAATATGTACCACGTGGGACGTCTGAGGGATACTATATTTCTAGGACATTTGAAATGATGTACCAGCTGGGACATTTCGTGGTCGTCCTTGCTCGGACATTGCATGAGATATACGGGATGAGACGTCCCAAGAACACCTATTTTTGGTCCGGGACATTTGGACTTGAATTGTACCAAATAGAGACGCCCTTAGGACGTTGTGTGCTATTAGGGTTCTTATCTCTTCGTCTCGAATGTTCCAATGTGAATTCATATCCGTCATTACCAATTCATATGTGATCAGAATGTCTCCATATAAACCGCTATGACTATGTTGATAACGCTAGAATTCCGACACGTCGCCAATCAAGATGAAATATCGCATTAACCTAACCTGAAATCAACCCTATAGCCGGGGTGCCCATAGTACAATACAATACAATACAATACAATACGTTTATTTTTCATCGGACATCTTTACATGTATAGGAATTGTCAGATTGAAGGCTCAAGAGTAGACAGTTTGAGACAGAGACATAAGAAAAAATAATAATATTTCGATATTACAGATAAAAACAGAAAGACTGCTGCCGAAAATTATTCTTTTGAGGTATAGGGATTCATTTTCAGTATAGGAATTGCTTTGAGTTCGTTTTGAAATTTCTGAGTTTTTTGAAGTTTTTCAATCGACTGGGAAGTTTATTGAAAACTTTGAGTCCAAAGTAATTGGGAGAGTTACGTGTAATCTCATATTTACACATTGGAATGTGATAATTGGTCTTGTACAAACTGCTGAAATACAAAATTGAAAACATTATATTTTTGTATCCAAAAGGAATATTCTCAGATATATTATATGGACATGGAAAAAACGGATATTCACTCACCGGCAAAAAAAAGGTTACCAAAAATTGTTGAAAATTGTTCTTCCTGAAATTTTTTCAATTCTTTTGGAATTTCTTTCAAATCGTAGATTCATGCTTCGGAATGTTAGGCTGAATATTAGTTTTCGTGTAAATCTGATGACTTGATCATAATACACCCTTTACTTCTTATCGAATTGAATAGTTTAACTTGGCTCCATTATGCTTTAGATAGAAGTGTGATTCGTTCTTAACACAATTGTTTTTGATTCACGTCAATATCTTATTTTTAAGAGAAGATATGAGTGTTTTAAGGAAGCATGGCATTCTCCAATTTTTATAAACAATAACCAGAACATACATAAACTCATTGATTGATTGAAAGAAGTAATATCACTTGATTACTTAATCACTTTAAGAAGTAATATCACTTGATTAACAACAAAGAAATAATATAACTTCATGACCGCCGTCAGGATTTCTTTCAGGGTGTATCTGCCTATAAACAATACTAATAACTAAGCTCCTGATCAATTGTACTGCAAACTGCTTCAATAATATTATTGTAGATTATTCAACACTGAATATTTTTCCGACTATACCGGGTGGCTACGGAAGTATTGCCTACGGAATATCTCAGTTATTGTATGAAGTAGGTTTGTGAAATTTGGAGCGTCGATATAATGACATAAGAGCTAGAATTTGAGCATATTGACATGTCGAAGTTAACTTCTGGTCTGACCGGAAAAAACATCAACTTTCTAATTTTAAATGGAAACCCTATTTTTTTTCTTTTCGCTTTATTCAGCATTCAATTCCCTTTCTAATGACATATCACAAGTTGGTATCTAACCAGAAACTAGATCAGCAGAAAATTATTATTGAAATTCACCGAGTAGGCCGTGGAAGCAAAATGAAAGCAAAAAATTGAAAAGTTGGCTATAAAAACCATACGTCACTTGATAACAGTTGTTACTACTGTGATATTTCATTTTCATTCGTCGGCGTTATAAAAAGCCGCAAAAAAAATATTGGAAAACTTGGGAAAAAAACAATACTCTGTAGGTCCATAACTTGAATAGGAACATACAACTTTTTCTTGCCTGTACTATTCAGCATAACCATTCCTTTCTAATGATATAATAGAAAGTAATTTTTTGGCTTTCATTTTGCTTCCACGGCCTACTCGGTGAATTTCAATAATAATATTTTTCTGATCTAGTTTCTGATTAGATACCAACTTGTGATATGTCATTAGAAAGGGAATTGAATGCTGAATAAAGCGAAAAGGAAAAAAAATAGGGTTTCAATTCGAAATTAGAAAGTTGATGTTACTTCCGGTCAGACCGGAAGTTTACTTCGACATGTCAATATGCTCAAATTCTAGCTCTTATGTCATTTTATCGACACTCAAAATTTCACAAACCTACTTCATACAATAACTGAAATATTCCGTAGGCAATACTTCCGTAGCCACCCGGTATATATAGGTACACATATTCTGTTTTCTTAATTTTGAAGAATACTCCATAGGGTATATGATTATAAGACCGATTATGAAAATACAATGGTAACACAGGGTTATATACGAGATGAGAAAAAACCTCTGCAAACTGTTAAAAATGAATATACAGGGTGATACACCAAAGTTAATGGAATTTGTATTCAAAGTAACTTCGGGGGTTCATATATGTATGCTATCCACCAACGATGACTTCTTGCCTTTCATTTTAATGTCTCTCAGTGTTGAATATACGAGGTACAGGTGGTGAAACACAATAACCTATATACACTATACAGGGTGACATAAAAAAATACATTGCATGGTGCCACACAATAGAGGATACTAAAATGAGAAAAAAAGTTCCTATGAACAAGAGTCCGCAAGGCCTTCGGTTAAAAGATACGGGGTGTTGAATTCAAATTTTTTTTGGGTTTCCTTTATCCAGAGATGCAAGAAATGGATAAAATGTGGTATACAGGGGTTTTTTCATCATGCTCGATTCAAATATGATCTTAGTTTTGTGATGACTGATAGAGGGCGCTACATACAGGGTTCCATCACTATTGAATCGGTCGTAACTTTTTTGCTATACACTGTATGTCATTTTCGACGAAAAAAATTTGTTACTCGTTTTTTTATACTTAAGAAAGGTATACTTTGTTCAAGTCGCTAGAAGCTATGGTTCCAGTACAAATGCATCTAATAGCCGACAATGCACCCAAATTATTCAAAAAGCGCCAAAGTAACATTTGCAAAAACAATTGTAGATACTTGAACAATTACATTTTGATGGTATGATGAAAAATATGATTAATTAGAACAAAACATTTAGTTTTTAGAACATGTTCGAATTGTTGCCCATGTATACTTCAATACATTTTTCCATTGAAATTCAACACTCCGTATCTTTTAACCGAAGGCCTTGCGGACCCATTTTCATAGAAATTTTTTTCCTTATTTTAGTGTCCTCTATTCTGTGGCACTATGCAATGTACTTTTTCCTATGTCACCCTGTTAAGGTGATGAATGTGTTGCGCTCTGTTTTTATGTGATACTATTTATTCATTATCTTTGCAGAACACTTTGTATATATGAGAACATAATATTTCATACGAGTATAGGTCGCAACAACCTATCCAAGAGATTATTTCAGGAAATAGCGATGAAATGATCAGATATTCTTGAAAAGATGAGGGAAAACTGCGAAACCAATTCGGATAATATACTTGAGCAGTATGAAAATATGATTGGATAAAATCCAATAATTTCCTCTTCAAGTTGCGAGCATGAAGAATTTTTGGAGAGGTTCGTTTGTCTTTCTGTATGACTAGATGACACCATGGATATTCATCAGATGTCTAGTGGTCATATATCCAATGTATTCATCTTGAAAATAAAGGCATCCGCATCCAAATATGTGTAACTTTTCGTAAAATACTCAATTTTGAATTTAGTGCAAAAATTTGCTGTGCCCTAACTTTCAAGTTTTCATTCACATTCTCTCTCTCTCTAATCAGATCAAAATCACGATCGTGTGACAGCTTCACTGTCATAATTCTTCTATTCCAGAGGAACATGATATCAATTTCAAAATTCTAGTCTAGCTTCTCTACCAACATCTAAGGAGATGAAACAGAAATAAAGAGAAGGTGAGTCACGAAATTGATATCAAGTCTTGCCACTGAAATTCAACCTGTTTCAGTTCCACCAACAAAATGAAATCACTGCTCGCCATAACCGCATTCCTATCACTCTTCTGCCTCGCTACTCCACAAACCAAACAGTCATGCTACAGCCCCATTTACTGCCAAGGAGACCTCCTCCACCTGGTACAGTCCCTCAAGATCTTCAACGACTCCAAAACCTTCGTGGACATGGCCATGATCTACCCTGTCAACGACACCCTCACCAAATTCCGAACCATGATGGCTGAAAACGACGAAAATCCTAGCAGAGACACCGTAAAAGAATTTGTGTACAAGAACTTCCAATCCATCGGAGAGCTTGAGGAATTCTATCCCAGGGACTACAATCCAGAACCGAAGATCGTCAAAGAAATAAACGACCCGGTGATCCGCAAGTTTACGCAGTCAATCATTTCGATATGGCCGTCTCTGACTAGGAAAGTGTCCTATCACGTTCACGATCATCCTGACACTCATTCTTTGATTCCAGTGGAACATCACTTCATCATTCCAGGTAAATTCACTCGACTACAGTCCTCTCAGATCAAAATTTACATAAAAAAGCTTATTCCTTCGTGTCTTGCTACATTTTTTGTGCATTGTTAAAAGATGTTCCTATCAGAGAGCCTAAAAGAAAAATTCACTAGCTTGTCAGTGACAATTTTTATTGAAAAAATTTTGGAGAAGAGAAATAAGGAATATAGAAAAAATATCAAATTTTCACTTATCTTTGGACGTTTCGGGACCGATTCTGTTCCCGTTTTCAACATGAAAGATGATTTCAATAGCGAAGTCGTAAAATATGTCTTGAAGCTTTTCAGTTTTCAATGACAATACGAGGTGCGCAAGAAAGGCTCACAAAATCGAACATCAATTTTTTCAAATGGAACACCCTAAATTTCATTGCATTTTCATATTCTCATTGGAAAGCTGAATTCAACGACCTAGCACACTATTGGGGTCTAGCGGAAATGATTTCCGAGATATAGGGTGTGGAAAATCGAGATTTTTCATTTTTCGGAATGTTTTGTGTCAAAACTATTCATTATTGGTCAAAATGGCTTACATGTCCATATCTTAACTTTCGATTTACTATTTACTCGTATTTAATTGAAACAAATACAGGGTGGTGTAGAAATCTGACTGAAACTGAGAACTGTAGGAGTCCACGATAATTGTTCATCAATAAAAAGACCTGAATTTACAGTTGGTTCCAGAGAATTTATATAAAGAATGCACCTAATTGAACGAAATAAAAACCGAAGTGTCAAGTACATAAGGCAACTTTAATTCCAGGCGGAAGGTTCAAAGAGTACTACTACTGGGATTCCTACTGGATCCTCAAAGGTCTTCTGCTCAGCGACATGATTGAGACCTCCAAGGGACTGATCCAGAACCTTCTCTCTATGGTGGAGCGATACGGCTTCATTCCGAACGGCGGCAGAATTTACTATCTGAACAGATCACAGCCTCCTCTTCTCACCTTTATGGTGGCCGATTACGTCAAGTACACCAAGGACTTCGAGTTTTTGCGCAATAACATCGACACGTTGGACAAGGAGCTGAATTTCTGGCTCAACCAGAGGACCATCAACGTTGAGAGAGACGGGAAAGTTTACCAATTGGCTCATTACGATTCTGAGAGTGATACGCCTAGGCCGGAATCCTATTTGGAGGATATTGAAACTTGCTCTCAACTGGATAGTGAGGATGCTAAGGTAAGCTGAAACAGCTATTTTCTATTATTCAAATCGCAGCGGCCGTGGGCCCACCATGTGGTCCCCACTCATGTCATGGTAGCGGTACGTGGAAAAGGCCGCGAACGGACACCCATCAAACGGGACTGGAGGATTCCGGTCGACATGGGTAGCTAGGCTTGCTCAGCGAAAACTGGAACTCTGGTGTACCTTGTGCCTTAGTTCGTCAGGGAGGGGGCAGCCCAAAACGATCCTACCGCCAGTCATCGTAGGCAAAGCCGGGTCCTCACCTGTAAACGAGGTAGAGGAACGTGTGAAAGTCCTCGAACGATCACTCATTCAACGGGACAAAAGGTTTCTTGTCAACAGCAATCAGGTCAAAGCCACAGTTGTGACGGCGACCCATCAAACGTAACAAGAGGATTCTTGTTGACATGGGTACCTGGGGTGGAAAGGTTAGCCCCATCAGGCCGTACATATGGCCTGGTGCCTCATCAATTGGGTTGGACTCCTGGGGGCAGCTGTTTCCAAAAAAACATCATCAGACTACGGTAGAGGAGGTGAAGAAGAATCCCACTATATGTCAAGTGGGAGGACATCTTGTCTGCCTCGGTGGGTGAGCAGCGTTTTCTGCTCGGGCACTGACACTGCAGAGCCAGTAGTCTGTCTCATCAGACGGCCTCACCATTGGTATAGTAAAATGGTAGCAGGAGAACATGCCGTTACATAACCATTTCTCCCTCTGGGGTGCTGTCGTTTTTCATTCATCACAAATTATATTTTGAAATGATTCAAATGGAACAAACCTATGTAACATATTCAGCTATTGAAATCAAATCTCCAGAAAATATACTTAATGGTGTTTATAGAGCACAAGATATAAATATCCATAATTTTTTTCAATTTCATGGATAGAACTCTCGATACATTCAATCAATTGAAATGTGAAAGTTTTTTTTGTTTGGTGATATGAATGTGGATCAATTATCAAACAGTCATGAGTCGAAATATTTAGTAGACATATATAAATATAGCAATTTCAAAATTTGAGAGAAAGATTTTGAAGTATTTATCATCAACAAATCTTTAAGTGATCATAAATTTTATTTAACTTTCAATGTACCTAGAAGAATTTTGAATAATACCAAATATGTTAACAAAATTATAAAATTATATGACATAGAAAAATTAAAAAATGAATTGGAAATACTAAAGAATATTATTGATTCCTATGATGACCTTGAAGAGGTTTATGAGGAACTATTGAATACATTCCATAGATGTTTTTGATATCAAAAATTATTGAACACAGGTGCAATTCTAAACCATTGTTTGATAATCATCCAAGCAAATCAATAAACTAACGTGATAATTTCCATACAAAGAGCCATACAATGTCTAAAATGAATTTGTGAAGGAAACAATAAGAGAAAAAAAGAAAACATTATGTGATGATCATTTTTTCAATAGCCTTGCAAAGACAGTTTGGAATGGAATAAATGCCCTCCTATATCATAAATTAAAAAATCAGAAAGAAAACATCAAACATATCATGGTGAATGATGTTTAAATTGACGAGTATCATCCAATGTGTCATTAAATTGATGAATATTCTGTTGATGTAAGTCCAAATTCATCTTCAAAAATCACTTCAAAATAGATCCAAATATTTCAGGAATTGAAAATCTTATCGATAGTCTTGATGTCCAAAAATCTTGTGAATTTGATTATATTAGTGTCAGTAATTCAATCTGAATAAGTGCCTATCTTGTTGAAAATCATTTCAAAATTTTTAGAAACTGGTATCATTCCTGACAAAACGAAAATTGCAAAAAACGATTTGAATAATTACAAGCCAATATTTGTCCTTCCAATTCTTTCTGAAATTATAGAAAAAATCATGAATCGTTGATTTGGTCTAGCTTTATTCGTAGTTCAGAGGATACACAGATAGCAGTGATGGATGTAATTCCGGACATCCAGTCACGGATAGATGATTATTATAAATGTGGCTTCTTGTCCTCAGATCTATGTAAGGCATTTGACACTATGGATCATACCATTTTCTCAATATTCGAGAGGAAGAATTCATGATTGGTTCATGAATTATTCGACAAATAGAAAGTAGTTTGTTGAAAACAATGGTTGAAGTGCGAATGATACTTGTAGCTCAATTATGAATTTCACATGTGGAGTACCCCAAGGATCTGTATTGGGACCAATTTCATTTTCAATTTGTATAAATTCAATATCAACTCTGAAATTGGAAGGGGAGCAAATTTCTTGCAGATGATACAACATTGATTCACGTATCAAAAGAATGAACTGATATAGAACGGGATATTGAAAGTGATTTGGAGAACAGATCATCTTGGATGCAAATTCATAAATTGACTCTTGATTTTAACAAATCTTCATATATGTTTATCTCAAAGAGATAATGTGATATCTGAAATAATGCGATATCTTTTAACAATAGATTCTTTAAATATACAAAGGTAAACAAATTTTTTGGTCGATGAAAAATTATTGTGTACTTAACTCATAGACCATTTGATGCAATATCTCTCAACAATAGATTCTTTAAATATACAAAGGTAACCAAATTTTTTGGTTTCTATATCGATGAAAAATTATTGTGGACTTAACACATATAGACCATTTTAGAAATGAAATAAATCCAATCATATACATTTTATTCAAAATCCGGAATAGAATTCTTGTGAGATAATTGAAGTGTTGCCTCATATATTCAAATCTACAATATTCAATTTTTATTCGGGAAAGAAAAAATATTTGACGCCTCAAACCACTAATGATAATACTAAGCAAATCAATTGAGTGCAGTTTTTATCTGAATCTTCTAGAAATCAAGGGAACACCCAAAACGTCAGAATATAATGCATCAAAATATAATTTATAAGAATATATTTCATCAGAATGGTAATTCGTAGGTACCGTAATTGATAGTTACTGTATTCTGTAAGCACGTTTTTCATCGCTTTGTAAAACATAGCTCCGTAATTTGTAGGTATGTATTATAACAAAACTTGATTCGTCAAAATGTAATCTATCAAGATGGTATTCGATAAGAACCGTATTTGATCATAACAGTAATTCATCAGAACAGTATTTCATCATCACGGTAATTTATCATAATCTAATTCTATCGTTAGGGTATTCTATCAGAACCGTAATTCGTCGCTTCAGTAAAACATCAGAATCGTAATTCATCAAAATCGTATCGTATAGGAACTGTATTCCATCGTCACATCAATTCATCGGCACTGTATTTTATAGTTTCAGTAATTCATCGGAACCGTATTCCATCGGAACTGTATTCTATCAGAAACATATTTTATCAAAACTGTATTTCATCAGAACCGTATTCCATCATCACCGTATTTCGTCAGAGCCGTATTTCTTCAGAACCGTATTTCGTCAGTTCCGTATTTCGTCAAAACCGTATTCTATCAGAATCGTATTCCATCAGTACAGCATTCTGTAAATACACTAAATATCCAATTATTACAGATAACTTCATCACAGTTAGATGCACAGAATATTTGTGTTAGTACCGCCGAATGCATATAGATGCTGTTCAGGGTTTGTTTGGGATGATTTTCGATTGTTTGATGAATCAAACTACTGATTGAAACAAACGCAAAACAAGCACATTTTTCACTAAATGGAACATTGAATGTCTTCGCGATAATTCAACATATTCTGATGCCGTGTTTTCATTCTGAAAATGAATATTTCACTATTATAAGTCCAGAAAATATCGAAGAATTCCCCATGCTTCCCATTTGACGAAAAATGTTTGGGAAGTTTTCCAGTCATATTCCTATAACGCTAAAGAATATACAGGGTGATTCAGGTTTTAAGGCACAAACTGAAATGGGAGGAAGATCTCATCATATTAATCACAAAAGTTCATACAAACATTAGTCCGATCTCGTTCAGTAGCGGAGCTACAGGGGGCCAAAGTTTAATTATTTTTTTTTATCAATTGAACTATCTCGCTTACTTTCCAAGATATCATTTTGTAATTTGATGTAGTCAATACTTCCTAGAAGATCATCAATTCAAGCATTTTGAAGATTCTCAAAATCTACAGGGTAATACGTTATTGGAGGTAGAGGCTTTTTATCCCCTCCAAACTTCTTCGTAGTACGCCTCTGGCATCTTTCAGTGATCAAATTGTGTAGATCGTTCAATTTAGAGGCTTTTTTTGATCTTTAATTTTTTCCGATAAACGAACCGTTTTTGAGATAAATATGCATAAACGTTCTAAAACATGTTAGATTTATAAATAAAAAAAAACAGATATTTGTATTGATAGTTTACCTAACTTCAGGATGATACGGTTTGAAATTTTTTCAAAATAGTAGAATTTTTTTTACGGCAACTTTAGAGAACTGAAAAAAAAATGACTCTATTCCCTCCGTTACCTCGTTACTGATCCAGATTGGACCCGTGATTTCACTTCTAGTGAGTACATTTCATTGCATCCTCAACGAATTTTGTCAAAGAATAAAATATTTAAGCGAAACATAGGCAAAATTAAAATATGAACCATTTCATGTAGTCAGGACTCGTCCCATAATATCACTGCGTTCAAAGAATTTTCTATCAGAGAGCTTAAGAGAAAAAATTCATTCGGTTGTCAGTGCCACTCAGTTTCGAAAATGGTTGAAGAAGAGTAATATTCAAAAAATATGGAATCATATTACTTGAAAATGTATACTCTGATATTTCGGTAACGAATCTGATCCCATAAAGAATGGAAAAAGTAATTCTTTCAAATTGTCTTGAGAAGTGTCATACTGAGAAGGCATGTTGCTGATGATTTTTATCTATAGAAATGAATAGAGAGAGATATAAAAAAATCTGGGAAATGATTTTACTTTCCATAGCTTAAATTTATCGCTTCAGCAAATTGTATCATCCTGATTATCGAATGTACAAGATTGCCTTCATGAGGAGTAAGGCGAGGAATACATTTTTCAGAACTGAAA